CAAAGTAAAACCAAAGGGCAACATGCTTGTGATGCTTGAAGTAGTCGATTGTTATAATAAATACTTGATTAGGAGACAATTATACAGTAATAAAGCTAATAATTATTATGATTATCGCTTTACGAATAGCGGGACCACGGGCCAGACTGCATCCATAGGCATATGGATCGAGAAGGAGAACAGACCTACTTCCGGCCTTATTCTTGCTTCGCACCAAATTTGGCAGACGTTGGGCTTTAAAACAATGCTAAATGAATGTAGGCCGACTCCGTGCACTAAGGCTCCTTCTTCCCGATTTTCGCTTATATAAGCTTATTAATCCTATTCTAGGCGTAATAACATAACAGCATTATCCGAAGCGCCTTTGTGCAATCTAGACTAACTGTGGATGCCAGTTCAAGCCCTGGCCGAAACGTATTAAAAAAAATATATTATCGATTTTTAATTATATAGTACCATCATGTAAAACAATATATGAAAATCAAAATTTTCAGAGCTAGAAACCTATATTACACCTAACAGACTGACCTTGCAAACGTTGTTTTGCCATATAAAGTATTTTGACCAAATTTGATTACCCTAGACCATACATACGGTTCTTGTGAATTCCTATTAAAAGATGCCTTGATATTATTTAAATAGGAATTATTCTTTTGTACATGTTTTTTGGTTTTGTTCATAAATTTCCTATTTTTTTCGATTTATATTAAACAACATTTCCTACTGGATGTAGCCTGTTATAGTCTAAAGCATTCCTCGATAAATGCTCTAACCGAGATAATTGAATTACTTCAGATTTATAATATTAGCATAGATCATTACGAATGAGAGTAAATATGATATTTGAAGAAATTGCTTCAATCTTCGTTCGGTCGCTGAGTTCAGATACATACGGGTATATAATGACTACGATAGAGTCAGTGTGCGAGAGTGTCGCGAGTGCCTTTCGATTTGTGGCAAATAATTCAGTCTCCGTGTGCTGCACAGCCTAAACGCAAAGGATCTGGAAAATAATATACACATTGGGCCTCATCCAAATGCGAAACTTTCCAAATATCCGAGCTGAAGACATCCGCCTCCTTTTCTTCGAGTTTCGGAAATATTTGCATAATATTTATTGTTCTTCCGATGGCCTGCGATACACCACCACGTTACAGGGCTTAACATGTTTTTGAACAATAATAAATTCAATTTGGGAAACATTTTGGCCTCGCTGGGAATTGACACCACGACCCGATGATTAACAGTTTGCTACCATTGAACCGACGACTTCGACAAAATTTAAATAATTCGGTGGATAATATTGAACAGTACACATTATTTAAGAGGCTCTTTGGCTAGCCAAACGTATTGCGTTATAATTACCCTGTATACTTACGATATAATCTATATTCTAACCTTTGAAGTAATACTTCTGTGTATACTTAACCACAAATATTTATCGTGTCTTCGCATGGCGCCTGTTGTTTCAGGATGAAGACGGACATCGTACATCTATTAAGAGAAAATGGCGGTCAATGTGTTGCCCCATTTTGGAGGGAAAATGCTTTGATTAGTCGCGGCCCTCGCCAAAAACAATAGAGTATGTCTAATCCGAATCCTTTTGTCGTCAATTTCTCAGCACAACGATCACAAGAAAGCGCAAAGTAAACATTATTTTATTTGAAAACCTCGTCTCGGAAGGGGGGAGTCAAAGGAATGACCGAAGGACGTCGCCAGTCTGCTGGCAAGAATTCTCTTTCATATTTCAGGACTTTTTCGGCCGCTGCGGTCGGGCTCGGGTTCATTAATTACTTTCTAAACAATGAAATTACTAATGAAAGAATAGAGCACGCACAAACAAAAGCGATCGGGGCCCTTTGTCGCGATAACGGTCCTCTCAGCCATTTCGAACCGCCCCGTGGCTCGTTTAACATTTTTAGTTTAGATGTGACAACTATCTATCTACTCTAGTAATGGGATGAGAGTAGAGTCTAGAGATGTAGTTGAAAAGGGAAATATCAGAATATTATTCCTGCGTGAACTTTGTCGAGTTCACGACTCTCACAACGCAAAGATCAGTTATTCGAAATATATGGACGCCCTTATCAACCGATATTCCTCATAGAGATATGTCATTGTAGCCGGGGATACAATAAATGTACAAATGTTTAGTCGTATTTAAAAAGAAAAGAAGTAAAAACACACAAACTAATATTCGCTAATAAACGTGCTGTAGAAGAAAATGACAAAGGACAGAAATATAATGTGTATAATGAAAATCATATTAAAGGATATTTATCACAACCGAACGTTACATTCAGTCTAAACATTTCGATCGGAGCTACGAAGTTTGATCAGATTTGTTTTACCCTTAAAGAATTCGAAGCGAAAAATAATTATACAATTACGAAGTTTAGCCGAGAACAATTTATTTCCTTTCGTAGCGAGCCGGTTCCGGTGGAGGATTTTTTCAAATAAATCCCTTAAGATTCCTCACAAAGAGTTTCATTTGCATCTCGTCGGTGACGAATATCCAGGGTGGACACGAAAAAGGCGCAGACACATCTGTCACGATTCCTTTCGAAACTGTTATGATTTCTCTGAGGCCGTCATAGTGTGAGCACACACCGCTGTTCGTGTATGGTACAGGGAAGGTACAAAATTTAGGCCGACGTAATAACGAGGAAACGTGAAGTTCGTGGCCCGTGGCTTTCTCGCCAGATTTATTAAGGCAATTAAACTTGGAGCGAGTTGACAGTTTTTTCTTTGTTTCGAGTTATTTAATGAGTGCCGCGAGCGGTTCAGAATTAAATCACGATCGTCTAATGCGCCCCACCGTTTGTAAGTGCTACCGCCGTTGAAGGCGCGCAGAGGCGTCATCGCGAGTTCGCCAAATTGAAGGATCACGTTGGTATGTTAGGTCATTAGCCTTATTTGGCATTGTTTTATAAATTCAAAGAAGAACGTTTGTGTTGAGAACAGGCCTTTTCTAGAATATCTTGTAATAGAAAAAATATATTTTATATCATCTTGTAGAATTAATTGTAGCGTGAACAATGAAATGCAGAAGATTGATGTGCAGAACAGAAGTCAGGATATTAACAAATTAATCCCTATTATTATACATATGCATCGTTAAGAAGTGGCGAAGTAGGGCTCCACTCTGGGGTCGGAGGACGCGGAGCGGGGGCTGTTGGAAGTTTGGAGATCGGCGGAGGTTAGGGGCGCGTCGGATTTTGATCAGTGATTATAACGAGGCGCCGGATCAGCGCGACCGCTTCGTTCTTCGCTTCGGAACTTTCGTATCCGAGACGGCCCCATTTTTAATTGGACTCCCTTCTCAAGAGAAAACTCAGCGGAACATTTAAGTACTTACAGGACTCATTGTTCGGTTATCGCTTTTCTAGCTCTGTTAGGCGTGACAATGTGCGGGCTTCGCCGTCCGCTTTTCAAACTCATACAATAAACAATACTGTTATGAAAACAACATTTAACTCTTTTCTCACTCCTTGATAATCATTATCGACCACGACGAGGATTCTCCACTGACAATACTTCTATGATGCTGAAGTGAATCGTGATGAGCACGGCGCGATGATCAAATTCCAAATGTTGTACTGTTCGGACTTCAAAAAAGGAGGTATATGCTTTTGTGTTCGTTCGCTGATAACTTGGGCGATCAGCTCGATTTTATGATTCCTTTTTGGTGTGATAATTAAAAGGATAACGCAGTCGCTATTAGGCGACGGCGTCGAACAGAGCAATGATGGTACAACAGGTAAACAATTTCGACCTGTTTTCGTCAACTTAGAAGAGTAACCACGCGGGTTCTGTTTTCGTTGCGCGCAAAAAAAACCGAAGCAACGTTTTCAAGACAAACTGGCGAAAACACTCGGAGACACGAGCGATAGGCCACTTGCTTTAAAAGTTAAGCGGTCTAACTTGTTATTAGTACAGTACGTATGTTTTTTTAAGTGATATTCAATTTTTTGCCTTGATTTATTTTGCAAGTTCACCAAATAAGTACTTAGTAGATCGGCAGCGCATTTCGCTTAGCCGCAGCTAGTTTGCTACAAGAAAACTTTAAAATTTTATTTCACGTCGTGTTTCACGCAGTGTGTAAAAGGCAAGGTGATTTCCTCGGGGCCTAAGAGAACTCAGTTCAACTGACGCGCGAGCATAATGTGTTTTATGGGGTATGTTTCAGTTCGTCCTGTTGAGCTAAAATTCTGGTCGCTCGTCGGAACTTAAGGAAACTGAAAATGTAAGATAATATTTGTGAAGGGGAGCGCAGACAAATAAGCTCGTTTGAATAACAAGTTTTGATAGAATTTAAATAAGCCGCGAGTTAGCTCGGTGAGCTGCAAGTTGGGTTTGTTTAGCCGCATTCGCTCGGCGGAGTTCTTTGATAAATAACTTTTAGTCAAATTGCTTCATGTGTCAACCGACTCCTGCGTCAGCCCAGAGTCAAATTTAGTTTGAAAACTCATCACTCGTCAATGTCCTAAATATAGTGAAACAATCCAAAAGTTACCGACCCCACCATTGCAGTGCAAGATATTTCAACTACGTTTGAGAAGAATAAATGAAAAACAGTGACTCTACGGTTTCGTGAAAGTTTGTTCAGGGAATATAGTAAATGGACCAATTAATTATTTTCAGTTCAAACACCGCTGTAAGTATTCATCTAGATAACACTTTTGCTGAGATTAAGCAAGATGGACATAATTAAAAGTGCAAAAGATTTGAGAAAAACACGCGCGTGCTTTAATAACAATAATAATTTACGCGAATCGTTTGAAATTCAGCGAGCATAGGTCTCTCGTATTCGTTTAATATTCATCGGTGCTCGGGGCCGGCTCAATAAAACGTGTTTACGAGCGCGAGCGACGATGTAAAGCGAACGATCATATAAATTACTGACTGGCTCGGCTCGTATCGCTTTTCTGATTTTATTGTGGAACTTAACTATAAATTACATTTTAAGTTAAGTATGTAATAGATCATTAGCGATTCAAATGAACAAAGAGCATGCGAGAGCTAAAGTGCGGTGCAAAGGAGCGATTCTAAACAGTTCGCATACGATTCCCGTTCTCAAGGAATATTTCACTATCGAATGGCATTGGATAGATATGTTTCTATATGCTTCGTTTAATTACTTCGGATATGGCTTCTTTGATTTTAAGTGAGTCCGGTATAAACTTGTTTTATGATAAGCTACGAAATAAGCCACCGTGTCACGTCAGTCTTTTTGAATGAACATAAGCGCGATACACGTGAGATACCGAACAACGTCATTCGCATCCTTTGGTCCGACGACGTGTTCCAGAAATCGTTTCGGCAGAGCCGAGACGACCATCGATCGCGAGCTCGTTAGGTATTCCACTCGGAGACGAGCTTAATTTTTTATTAATACTTAATTTCCCCAGTCACAGAGCGCCAATACTGAGGTCGCTGGTCCCGGAACGCGGTGCGACGTTGCACTCGCCCGAGTACCAATTACGGGGTGTAGACGAGATAAGTCTACATTTTACGGGGAAAATATTACGCCTCAAAATAACATTTGAAATTGAAACTACGTCCACGTGGCCCGCTACGAAGAGTTACATTTTTTCAACATCAACACTAGTGTTATTAGAAAATGCCATCCACATGTGAAAACCGTATCATTTTTGAGGCACCTCTCTCTTAAGGGGCTCCATGTGAATTACGTTACGACCGATGTTCAACCAATTATTTAAATCAGTGTCGAATGGAAAACTTACGAAAGAGATGGACGAAGTCAATTATACACTTGACGGGCGCGAGATATCTTAATTTAATTCGCGAATTAGGAGAAAAACCACTCTCAAACGAAGTCGATTCTGCAGCTGACGGGCGACCGCGATTCTTCGGAAAACTAACTTTGTCTATTTTCTCTTGAATCGTATCGCAGGACAAATCGATATTATATTCATTTGTCTAAAAAAGGTATTCTACCGACCCTCGAGTCTCTTTAGTATATACGTTGTAGTTGAAATCTGTCGTCTCGATACGAGGCAGGGTCAGATCAATTAAACGGCGCCCTGAAAGGCGAGCCAATAAGCCTGCCTTAATTGCTCCCTCTGTGTTGCACTCGAATTATGGAATGGAATTTAGCTTACGCCAATCAAATTATGGCCTCTCTGCTCCTCGACCGATGCGCATCGGCCCGATCGAGATTTAGCATGGCTACAGCCGAAACGGCGTTAACTAGAAGACTATCTACTAGAGCAGGAGAACTCACAAGTTTAGTATGGATTATTCTCCTAGTTTTACATTAGAAAGCGAATTTTCGCATAGCACAGCCAACAGAAACCCACTTAGAACACTTGATAGTGATCAATATTTTACTCGACCCAAGTGTTGCTTATGAACGCATACGGGCTTTGCGGTCTAACGCCCTACGCGTCACGCCAACGCAAAGCTGTGTGGGGTGACCACAATTTCACATACCACTCACTTTGTATGTGGTATGTGAAATTGATCCCGTTACCGCTTATTTATTTACAACTTTAAACCGAGATCAGCCGAGGGACGCTTCCGAAGATGTCGTCCACTTGCGATAGCGAAACGCCAGACTCCGAACCGTTTGGCAACTTTTGGTTCGGTCCTACGCCAAACCATACTCAAAATAATCGGGTTCGAAGTATCTTAGAACGCCACACAGACTAGAACGAAAGAATTGTACGAGGCTCTCGCGGGCTTTTCTCAATACTACTTGTCATCGTTCTAAAAACCGATTCTCACTAACGATGGCCGCAAAAGCCTTGTCAAACGAACAACTGTCGCCTGGGCGTTTGAAATATTCCGCTCATATTATTATGCGATTTAGTAACGCAACAAAACTATATATAACGCAAAATGCGGTCACCGAGGTATTTAGTCACCTCAGCGGCAATAAAGCGAAAGATACGCGTATCAAAGTCGGGCACGACATGTGCCACGATAATGTAGCGTTTAGTGCAAAATAAGGAGATTATAGCAGGTGCACGTCGTACGAAGGGAGGGGTGGCGGTGGGCGAGCTGGAGTTTCTGCTTTTTATAATTGGTTTCGATAATTTAATAAGGGAAAGATGCTCATTATAACCATTATAGATATGATAAAACGCTTGAATGAAGTAGCTGTGCTACGAGTAAAACGTCGTTCGTATGCAAATATGAAGAAAAGTGCATTAGCCGTGGAACAGTCGATAGGAAAAGGCTTTCATTGTTCTCCGATGCTCTCTCATGCTGCGTCAGCCGAGATGAGAAATGAGCACTTATTGGAGTCGGAAATTTAACTCCTACTTTATGGATGTGAGGAATGCGTTTTTCTTTTATTGCCTTACAATATCAAATTTCACGAATATGATAATTATTTTTATAGCTTAATTGTGGCAACATACCGGTATATCCTTTAACCTAACTCGGTCGTAGCGATCGCCAAACGAGACCTTTCGGATTGTGAAGCCGAGGCTCGGCCCTCGCGGGGCAGTTGGCTCGACAAAGTGGTAAAATAAAAGATGGAATGCAGTATGTTATCGAGTGTCACTTGGCGCGTTATCTATGGGGCGACCACAACACGTTCCGTTACATTTCCACATAATGTAAATACTGCGCGACATTCCTTTATGGCTCTCTATTACGCTCGCGACGGCCGACTGCGCTCGGTTTGGCCCTTATGTGGCGCCGGGTTGGGTCGAGTTTCGCCCGAAAGCTTTCTTCCGCGAATGCCCACTTCGGGCCCGGATATAATATAGAGCGTAGAATAAGTTCGCTCAGATAAATAGTTTGGGCGGTCGCCAGGTACCTAACGAGGCCGTTTGAAATATCACCCTTTTTAGTTTTCAAAGTTTTGTTTTGAACGTCAGCGCCGCTAATGTTTTGGAAAATACAAATTGTTCGAAACGCGTTCGACAAAATCTTCAATAACTCTATGGCTCTCGATACGCTATGAATAATATATTCTAACCATAAAACAATTCACAGACATTAAAACAGCGCGTCTAGTCTACTTCAGCTACTTCCGCAATGTTATGACATATGGCATACTACTGTGGGGTAACGCTGCCGACATTGAATGTATCTTTGTGTTGCAAAAAAAGGGCGGTCCAGGCTATCTATGGTATGGGAACTCGGGAGTCATTAAAAGACACCTTTAAAAATATCGGCATACTTACTGTGTACTCGCAGTATATTTACGAAAATGTATTGTATGCCCATAAGAATAAAAGCAAGTTCAGCAAGAAGTGATAGGCATAATTTGAACTTACGAAAAAAGGATAACCTAGCTATCCCCAAATATAGGCTCCATAAAATATCTAATTCACTTGCGGGAAATTGTATTCGTATGTATAATACATTGCCAGTCAAGATTTCAAATTTATCGATAGATAAATTTAAGAAAGTATAAAACTTAGATTGTCTCAAAAGGCGTATTATTGTCTGAACGATATTTTTAATGACAAGACCTCCTGGCATTAATATGAATTGCTCCTGTTAATAAATCTATAAAAATGTCTTAGTTTATAAGACATATTTAAAAAAGCCGGACTGAGTTTCTCGGTTGTTCTTCTCAGTTATGTCGCTCTTTTGAACACTCTGTAGAAACACGACGAATAGACAGACAAACGAAAAAAAAAATTGACGAATCTAAATATTTTTTTAAATTTTAAAGAGAATAACGTATTTTTTTTATTCTACACTGCGTAATAACGGTGGAGGGGTTTAGTGGGCTGCGCGCTGCTGTCGTGAATGGCATTTAATTGTGTACAATTAGAGCGAAATGAACACAATTAATTAATTCAGAATTAGGCTAATGCATATCGACAGCCCGACGACGCCGTAATCGCGAATATATTACTGAATTACTATTTAATACACATTATCTATTCATCTCTTCGCTTTAATTACCTCTGAATTTAGGTGCAGAAAGAAATTAAAGGAAAATTGATATAAACGTTGAAAATGGAATTCTCTCACGATGAAGATACACGAGAGCGTACGCAATTATGTAGATACCGCGCGAGGCTTATATTTTGCGGAAGAATTCTCTTCCGCTCCAGCGGATTACTCGAATCCTTGGAACCGAAAGTGAACCTGTTTAATACTTCACTTGTCCCCGCTCTTATGTATTTGAAATTAATTTATTCATCTCGATCGCGGCTTCCTCTTTGAAAAAGGCGAGAGTGTCATATTTCGCAATCGTAAGCACACGCTGACATTAACCTAATGCAAAACCCGTTTTAAACGCAATTGTATCGATGTCGACAGCAAAGTGAAAATCTCACGTGGATTGAGAATACTTAGAAAGTGGCCACGAAAGAAGAGAATTAAGAAAAAATATAAAATGTTAGTAAGTCAGTTTAACACATTTATCCATCATTAAATGCCGAAGACGCTTAACATTTTATTTTAAGCCCTAAAACAAAACAATAATCGCATTTGATATCTTAATATTTTCAACTTTTTAGTAATTTGATTCCATAATAAAGATAGCAATTTTCAATTAAAATTCAGATTTTCAACTATTTTAGACGCTCCCCAATAGATTTCTAAGAAGTGTACATAAGAAAAAACTGTTATAAGATTGACTAAACGTTAGCTTAATGACCGCGCTCTTGTCACTATGTGTCATTTCAATATTATTTTTTTCGTAATTCGGGTAGAGTGAGTTCTCGCGAAGCTTTTCCACCCTCAAACTATTATAATTGAAAGGGGGATGGAATAGCTGGCTCGGATTCCACTTCAGTCACGGGATGTGGGAAATAAGCGGCAAAGTAATGAAGTTATGCTCGTAAGTATCGTTCGGAGTGCCCAAATAGATTACATAGCTCCAACTTGTATAGGATGCGGTAATGCAGCGCGGTTTCGTGGTGCACTTGACTGGGCGGACGGCGCACTGGGCGCGATGCCTTCCGTTTCCCTCACGATTCACTTTTGCTTATAATACATGGACCGAAAGACTCGATCGCATATCATGAGAAATTTTTGTTAATATTTAAAAAATTTAAACTTATCAAAAGACAACGGTTTATGGGAGTATTTTCAACTTTCAGCCGCACAAAGATAACGCACAAAAACGCAGTATTATACTCGTATTATTTGTCATATTACATGAGGAGTGAGGAGTTAATTCTGACTTAATGATAAAACAAATTATTAGCCCGGTGTCCCGTGAGCCTAACCAAAGCTGCGGGTAGTACTGTTGCACTTAGGAAACAACCAGTATTAGTTCACCGGGAAATTATTTCAAACAGAATTTCGTATAATTTTGCAGATGAAACTAAATTAAAAGGTATTCGTGATGCTCCAAAGCGGAATGAATACCCGTTTGAGTCTCGCCATTTACGGTAACAATTATGAAGAGCTAAAGTCGTTATTTAAATAATTTGTATAAATATATTGTACAGCCTTGTGAAAGTAACTTTCTTTTAAAAGTTTTTCATATCTATATAGTTTGATTAGATTTTCTGGTATTTCCGTGTGTAGCGTAGGTTCGCTTTCGTGGGTAAGGTTTAACATTTTACATTCAACGAAGATAAAACAGTCATAATATCAATCCTTCTATTCGGTTGCGAGGCTCGGAGGATAAACTCAAAGAGAAGGGCTCGTTTCAGTGGCAGAACGCAAAATGTTGAACGAGAAAGGACGGTACCTGGCGACCGCGCAAAAATGAGGCTCGAAGAGTTTAAAGCCTCCGCTAGACCGGCCATCTAAAAGAATGGAAGAATACAGAAGCGTCAACAAGGCGTCTTGAAATTCCAAATGGTCTCCGCCCCGTTGGCCGTCCCAGATAACCCACTTCGAGTCCCTGAGCCAGCGGAGCCATGATGTAGGTGATAATAGAAACTAGAAAAAAAGAACGTCCACCCTGAGTCTAAGTCTTTCTATTGCTTTATTTCCTGTAATGTACTTTCATTATGTATTAACGGTCCATTAATCTCTTCGCCAACAAACTTTTCTCCTGCACTTTATTGCTTTCCCGAGATAATCTCAACTTATTCCACAACCGAAGAAAGTTTTTACGAACTCCATTTGCGGTACTAGGCCTCGACTTTCTATCCAACGTGTTACCGAAACGTGTACATCGCTTACGTACAAAGCTTGTGGCTTATTTGATCGATCATTTTTACTTTCTTCAGATGACGAAGCTGCTCTCTGTCTTTTGAGTCGGTCCTCCAGACATAATGACCGAACGCAAAATATTAAAAGTTTATTAGGTACTGATTTCTATGAAAAAAAAAACGTTCAAAACTGGGCTTAGTAGCGAGAGTGAGAGTGAGAGTCAATAATAAAGCGATACCAGATTTGACAATTTGTAGTAGTTAGATTCTTTGTAGCCAATTCCGTCTTAGATAAAATAACTCAGTTATAAATAAAACACTTTAACGGATAAAACGCGATATATTTTAGTTAAACTTGTTTGAAAATTAATAAGGAGTCTTTAGTCTCCCCGCGACCACGGCTGCTGCAAAGCATACGAATCGTCAGAGCGTAATTAAAAATCATTTCCACACAATATTTAACTCTGTTATGACCAAAAATAGTTTAATTTAGACCGCGATTATTTTGACGGACTTTCAGTTGATTAGTGCGGACAATGCATTTACCATAATAACATCCATCGCCGGATGTAACCGTTAGAAAATAAAAACTTGGTTAAAATATTTATTATTGCAATCGCAATTAAAAATTTAAAAAAATAAAACTTTTCACGCTTAGACAAATTTACTTGAAAAAAAAAGCACTAGCGCAGTTTTAATTCCATTTTTTTTATATTTTGATTTGTATAGAGAATACAAGTATCTATACGACGCGGGGGTTTCCCTCTTGGCGCTAAGTTAGACGCCTAAATAAAGCACAAAATAATTTCGCTATATAGGCCGACGATGTAGCGATGCGTGAAAGGGGCTAGACTAGCTCTAGGCGCAGTGATTGCGGAGTGCGGTGTTTGCAGGCTGCGTGACGGAAGTGGAGGGAGGCCGCAGCTGTGCTGAGGTCTGTTGTGTACGGATTCCTAGGACGCAGCCCGGTTACGCATTTCGATTAGCGTAACGGGCGGCTGCCCCGCATTTCGCACCGAAATTCAAGCCACTATTTATCACATAACGAATACGTCTAAAAGAAGCTGTCAAAATCGAGGTAGACATCATAAGCGGTTGAATGTAATAATCTCACGAAGTACTAGTTCAGGCTGAACAAGGTCTTTTTGAGTCGACATAGACCAGGAAACACGGGGTGCTACCGACGAAAGCGAAGAAACATCGGGGAAATATATAATGTTCAAGATACTAAAAAA